GCGGCAGTGCGCCGCAGCCGTTGGCTCGGCGGGCGGAAGCGGACGCGGGAGGAGCCCAGCAGCGGGTGCGCCGGCGAGGGGGTCGAGGCGCTCCACCGGCGGCGCGGCGGCGCCTACGCGCCTTGCTGCTTCCCCGGCTGCACGCTCCGCAACACCGCGCGGGGCCTTCCCCACAACGGCCTTTGCCGGTTTGCGCACGCGGCGGGGACGGCGCCGGCGCCGGCGCCAACCTCGCCGGCGGCGCCCTGAGGGGAGGGAGGTCTAGAGCCCAGGTTGGCGGCGGCGGAGAGGCCGCAGCTCGTGCCGCGGGGAGGAGGCAGAGCTGAGGGAGAGGTCTTGAGCGCCAGGTCGCCGCGGGCACCGCGCATATTCGGGTGGGCCGCGCGCTACACGCTCCGGCGCGCGTGGCCCCGTTGTACGTGATCGATGCATTCGATCGAGATGCATGCATGCATGCCATGATCCCCAAGCAAGCTCTCACTCAAGGGTCTCTGGAAGAGTCATGTCTCATGATCCACATACGCATGTCCATGTCCATGTGTTGGCGAGGTGTGTATGTGCAGCACACACACAGCGGTCGCACAGGGCACTGGGCCGCGAATGCTGTCCGAATTACAAAAATTTGTTGTCATCGCACATCGGAAAAACGTGTCATACGCAGAAGGCCCGACGTCCAATAAATAAAGGCTGCAGGATAGTCCGGTAGAACTCTCTGGCCCGCCGCGTGTGTCCGTCCGAACTTCCCTGGGACGTGGGAGAGCCCTCCACGAGGCCGAGCTGGGACGTCTCACCGGACACCGTCACCGGCCAACCTGCACCATGAGCCGCGCTGCGGCCGGGAAAGCTAACGATTCGGAGCAGAATGACCCAGACGATGTGCCGCCGCTGACGCCCGAATTCACTCTTCAAAACCATGACCGATACACTCGACCTCGCCCGTACCAACATCGCGACCGTCGTCGAAACGGACCGTTTGAAGCCGTGCGATCAAAGACCTGCTAAAGAAGGCGGACCGTAAGCCGACGGCCTTCGCCCAGACGTACATGCACGACCCCGCCATGACGAACATGACCGCCTTCACCAAGGGAAGGAGCTTCCTCAGGTAATATGTCTTGAAGGCAACAGAACACTCCGACCGCTTCGTTCTCAACGACAGCGCTCGCACAAGGCCGTCCTCATGGCGGAGGTGCGATGATGTATTAGACTACATTTGGAGGCAGGAAATCTTGCTGCAGGACAAGACTTCAAAGATCGAGAAGCTGCAAGAACTCCTACACAGTGAAAGGCAACGCATGGAGCTACTGATTCCTATAGCAGTTTTGGTATGCGCCTTCCTCCTAAATAATTTCCTGACAGCGTTGCGGGATTGGCTTCTGCCGCGGATCCATGGCGAGGTGCAAGGCGTGCCTGTCAGAGCAATTAGAGGGGTGGCCGTGGCCACAGCACGACAGGTTCGAGTGCCAGTTGTTGTCGACGCCGAGACGGTTGACAACTTGACGGCTTGCCTTCTCCGACGTCTTACGGAGAGAGAGAGAGAGAAGGAGGTCAATGGTCCACAGACCACAACGCTTCGAATATTGTGTACCAGAGAGATAGGTGTGGGAGCTGTGGCTGGGAGCGGCCAACTTCAACTTTTAGGCCAGCTAGCAAATTTAGATGGGGGGAGATAGGCAGGACGAGTGTCGCGCAACACCATCTCTACCCCTCGGGAAAAGTGCGGCGATTCGATATCGTTTCACGTTTGTGCTCTCGAGTTACGAGTATCGTCTGTGTGTGACCTTCCCCCCCCCCCCCCCCCCCCCCCGAGCTGGGGGCGGGGCCCGCGCAGCGGCTTCTAGTTTTGACCGCGCAAGATATAAAGGGTGGCTAAGGGCTCTGCCCGCAAGGCGCCCGCGTCGCAGACGCGGTACCATTGACAAATCTGCAATATACCCCCACACGAACAAATAACAAAATCCGAATACCGTGCAGAAACCATGTGAATCTGGGCCGTGGACGGACGCAAGCTATCAGCTGGTGCCAAGACATCGCTCGTTTTACGGGAGCACTGCAGCAACCACAGCCGGGGGCTATTGCAACACATATGGAGAGCCTCCTGCGTGACCTCGGGGACGCGCGCGACGCCTGTAACAACCTGCCTTTTGACGATGCGCTGCGCGACAAGATAGCTACCGAACTGGATCGCATCGAGGCTGCTCCGCCTCTCGAGCGCATGTTGGTGACGAAGCCGCCGGTCAAGAGGTGGGCGGAATTGGTCAGCCGGCAGAAGGATCCGTCCATCAAGACGCGTCGTCAGGCTGCGCTCACCGCCATGCTGCGCGTCGTCGACCGCCTCCCCGCTCGGGGGCCAAGCCAAGGTGCTGCGTACTCGAGTAGCCTTACTGTAGGAACCTTTCATGCTCCAAGGTGACGCAGCCAGCCCCATCCGCCCCCCTTGCACAGACTCTTCCCGCTTGACTGAAACCAGAGGGGTGAGGAACCACCCCGACCCAGTTAATGGCGCGTCGGGGCCAGCGCCTTCAAATGCGCCCCAACCCTCCACTGCTGCCACCTCATCCTGCGCTGCCACCGGTGCGCGCCGGCTCGAGGCTTTCCGGGCACACGAGGACACAAGGCGGCAACGTCTGCCCACTGTCCGCGCAGGTGTGCGGCGCTCGTCGAGATTGACGGCAGGGCGTTGGGCTCGGCGGCGATGTTGGAGGGTGCGCGTGCGGATGAGGCGTCCGCGGGCTAGTGTGCGCACCCTCGAGCCGTCACGACCCCGACCGTCAGCTTCTCTGCGTGAATATGTATGGCAAGCGTGCTTCCACTGCGCGCCCGCGCCTGCGGCGCCGCCGCGGCTCCCCACCCTTTTCGAAAAGCCTTTTGCGCAGCAACACCTTAAACTTTTCAGGCCCTCCAAATTCGGGTCGGAGCGTAGCGGAGAGTGGGCCCGCACTGCGCCCGAGTTTGAAAAGGGCGACGGACGCTTGCGTCCTAGCCTCCAACAACGCCTCCCCGGCGCAGAGGGCCCCCCGGAGGGATGCACAACCGACCCACGCCACGCCGCTTGCGGCGGTCCTCTTAGAAAAGAAAGGAAGAAACCGGACACCCCAAGGGAGGGATGGGAGGACGGCACGCCGCCACCACACAGGGATTTTAAGGAGAGGGGTGTGATGCGCTAGCCGTCGCCCACCCTTGGGCGTCCGCCTCTTCCTATCTCTCTTCGCAGTCTCTCGCCGATTCTCGCTGCGACCTTCATGCCACCTCGCGGTCGTCCCACTCTCGTCGTTCTCTCCCTTGTCGCTTCTTCCTCTGTCGCGTCGCTCTCCTCTGCTTCGTCCTGCGACGCCGCGGCCGCATGCCGGTCCCTTGTTCTCGCGGTTGTTGCGGCGGTCTTCTTCCCAGCTCCGCTGATGCAGTGCGTTATTCTTTGCTTGTGTTATAAATCGTTTGGAGCACTTGGAGTGCGGTTTGAAATTCTTTGTTTGACTGGCAGCTCCTGCACGCACGCGCGCGCAAGAGGCGCCCGATGAGTGAGGAAGAGGATGAGGTCCAAGACCAGAAGCAGACCATCGATGCGAAGTGCAAGGCGCGGACGCAGCGTGCGCTTCCATAGCGCACCACCTCACGCCACGCTGGCCGCCTGTGTGCTCTGCAGGCGACGCTCGCGTGCGCCACGATGCTGGTAGAGTACGAGGCGTGCCAGGCGCGGATCGAGGCCAAGGTCCGCGCATCCCGCCCACAGTCGCCCGCCGTCGCTGCGCATCCACTGACTGGGCTTGTACCAAGTAGGGGAGCGGATCGTGCGAGGGGCAGTACGGCGATTGGGTGCACTGTGTGGACGCGTGCGCGGCAAAGTCGCTCTTCTCCAAGCTCAAGTGACGGCGTGCTGCGGCGCTTGGGTGCAGGCATTGCGTGGTGTCTCGAGGTGTGAGTTGTCGGCGGCGCGTCTCTTTGTGCGTGCGTCGCGGCCTCTCGCTCGTGTTGTTGCGCCAGCAGATCCAGCGATCTGTACCAGCTTGAGCTACGGTATCAGGAGAAGATCGATACCTGACTAATTTCCTGTGTGCTGGCTGGTTGAGCCTGAAGGGGACTGAGCCTGAGAGGCTCTGGTTCAGATATGCGTTCCCCCCACACCCACCCTTCCGCACAGACGGCCTTTTATTACGATACCTCCCCCTTACGGCTTTATTGCTATTACCACAATACGCGCTTACCTTAAGGTCCTCCGGGCCCCGTTAGGGAGGCAAACCCTGGCCGGCCCTTAGAACCCCAGGTAAGGCCCAGGTGTGGCCTAGGGCATCAGAAGGGACCAAGAGGAGTCCAGTCTGAGCCATAGAGCCCATGTCTTTGCCCCCGAAGGTCGCGTTCAAATGCCCGGACCTGGCCCGGACGGACGTCTCAGTGGTGTCTGGCCGGCGCGATCACCGAGCTGTGACGCTCAGGGAAGCCGGATGAGGTACTGGTTTCTTTGCCCAGGCCTAGCCTACGACCCATGCTGGATCAGCTGAGCAAGGTTTGGGGAGAATCCTATAGTAGGATCTTGCATCTTCAGATATTTTGATGAACGACCGAAAATGGTCATAAACGGGTCGTATTCGGTCGTTCGTCAAAATATCTGAAGATCCTGCTATAGGATTCTCCCCAAACCTTGCTCAGCTGATCCAGCATGGGTCGTAGGCCAGGCCTGGGCAAAGAAACCAGTACCTCATCCGGCTGACCGACTGGGGGACGCGCGCAAACAGCAGAACTTGATTGCCTGACCCACGGTCGCTAGGCGGAAGCAGCGTTCAGCAACTGCCGCCGCGGGGTTCTCGTCCAAGCATGGCCACCATGGCCAGGCATCCTGAAATCCTCGTACGCCTGTCGCTCAGCAATTGGAGCACTTACTTGGAGTGCGTGCGGTCGCTCAGTAACATGCTTTCTTTGGATGGATGGATGGATCCCAAACTCTGTAGCAACATCCCGTCGACTGGGAGATTTCAATACCAAATAAACTCTGTACACTCACACATCGTTTGTGGGTGGGCGACGGCTAGCACCACACTCCTTCCTCTCCTTAAGATCCCTGTGAGAGAGATTTTTAGCAATACCTTAAAGAGAGGTTACAGGCGGCGTAAGATCCGTTAGCGGGAGATCGGCGGGAGCTGCGGACGTTTCGAATTCGGCGGGTGCTGCGGACGTTTCGAATTTGTCGACGGACCGTTTCAGGTCTCTGCGCTCCAAACAACTCTAACACTCACACGTCATTTGTGGTCCCTGTGTGGTGGCGGCGAGCGAGAGAGGTGGGTGGCGGAGAGAGAGTTGTTTGGCGGCGTGCCGTCCTCCCATCCCGCCCGATGTTTTCTTTTTCTAGTGCGTAAGTGGTAAGAGGATGTGTGTGAAGAGAGGAACATATACAAAGAAAATAAAAAATGGAGGAAGGCATGTCACCTGTAATGCTCAGAAGCTTCTTCCCTTGTCGAAAGAAAGAAAGAAAACAAACAAACCCAAACGAGCGATTGGGAGTTCTTCCCATTTCTCGGAGATGCGCTGCGAGAATTCTTCTTCGAGTGTAAATTCTTCTGAAACGGGCGCTGGCCCAACGATCAAGCCGCGGCCATGGACCCGGTCAAGCTTATCGCGTCGGACGGCACCGAGATTATCCTCGACCGGCAGGCGGCGATGGTCTCCGGGACCATCAAGTCCATGCTCGGCGGGCCAGGTGTGGGGGCCACGCCACTGCCGCCACGAGCACATGCGTCACTGCCGCAGCCGCCGCGCTGAGGAGTGACGGCACCGCACCCGCGGGCACCGCTGCTTTCGCCCGCCGCTGCTCTCGCCCGCCGCCATCATACCGGAGTCACCCTGCCACCTCTGCTCGCCGCGCTCTCACCTCGCCGCGGCTCCGCTCCGGCAAGGTGGGTATGTGGAGCAGGAGAAGGGGGAGATCAACTTCCCGGAGATCTCGGGTAAGACGCTCGAGCAGACGGTCCAGTACTTTTACTACAAGCTCCGCCACACCAACCCGTCCTGTGCGCCTCTCCACCCAACTTCCCTCTCGCACTGCCTCCGGAGACCCGCCACGCTGCCTGCCTCTCCCGCCCCCTCCCCGACCGCTCAGCCCGCCACGGCGCCCTCGTCTCTGCAGCCAACCACACCCTCCCCGAGTTCAAAATCGAGCCCGAGTCGGCACTGGAGCTGCTGATGGCTGCAAACTACCTCGATACATGAACATGACCTCGAAACCACTGCGCGCCCACCCCGCCGGGCGTGGACCCTGCTCCCGATGTGTCGAAATGCCAGAGGGTTCGCGGTTATCGTGACCGAACACTGCGAACGAGTCTGTAGTTTACGTAAACGTGGTGTAATTAACATCGGAAGGCATGCCTTGTGCGGCATGGCGACGCGCCTCTCGCACGCGAGGAGAGCGGCCGCACACCCCGGTTAGGGGACCCCTAGGGTCCTGAGGGCCGGATTGTTTTAAGACCTTTTAAGAAATGAGGAGGTTTGGGGGCTCAAATTGTCATTTAAGAGATTGCAGGCACGGGGGGTCCCTTTTTTAAGTCCGTTTAAGAAAATCGGCCTCACCGGCACGCGTCGCTGGGTTCCCGCGCCGGTTTCTCCAATACTGCCGTTATTAGGCACGAACCCGCCACTGAAGACACATCTGTAAGTCTGGTGCACTGGCGGGAGCCATACTCGCATAGGGGACGCGTGCCAGCTGACTGTAGCCAGCTTCCCGGCCTCCGGCGTCTACCGGGGAGCCTCCCGGACCATCGACCTCGGGAGCTCTCCCGCACCGTTTAAGCGTTTAAGACCGTTTAAGGAATCGGCGGCCCAGCAGCTCTTAAAACCTGCCATGGCAGGTTTTAAGCCGTTTAAGCCGCAGGCGCCCCAGGGCCCACCCTTTTAAGCCTAGGAGTACCCTAAGCCGCACACAGGCACACTGCTCGAGCTACCCCCCCTGCACATCTAAAGCCATGCCCCCCCCCCCCCCCCCCAGCAGCAGCGTTTTGCTGCTGGGGGGGTCGGGACCCCCCCCCCCAGCAGCAGCGCTCTGCTGCTGGGGGGGTCAGACCCCCCCCCAGCAGCAGGGATGGCTTTAGATGTGCAGGGGGGGTAGCGGGCAGTGCGCGGCCGCTCCGAGCGGATCACAGATCTCACACCGCAAGCCGGCATTCGTGTGTATAAAGCCGTACACACGCGACGCCACTCGCTTGCTTATTTCGCTCCAGTCCTACCTGCGGAGTAGACCGGAGGGCTACGAAGCCTTCACACTCCAAGGGGCTGTACACACACGCGTTCGGCGTTGGCGTTGCCGCGTGTTGACAAGCCCGCGTTGGGGCGCGGCTCGTTTCGAACTTTCGTCCCTACGCGCCAGGGACGGCCGACCGACCGCCCGACCGGGAGCGGAACGACGCGACCTGGCTGCACCGAGAGCCGCGGGCTTAAAAGGCCATTCACGGGTGTCCGCGGCCCACTGTGCCCGCTGGTAGGACAGGTGATCGCAGGAACGTGCAAACCCCCTGTGGCTGTCACGCTGTGGTCTCAGCTCCATATCATCTCGGATATTTTTTGTAGGCACCGGAACATCGAAAAAACTAGTCAGAGGGAAAAGTAATTCGAGCAAACCCCGCGGCCGCAGTGAATTAAAAGGGCGGTTTTCGAGGGGGAATCTGGAGAATCTGGGAATCGGCTCACCACGGAACCCCACCTGCTCCGCTCGTGGCTCGACACCTCTCGCAAAGCTTCAAAGTCATAGCCACCACCTCGCACCTCCTCCGGCAAGTGTTTGCCGTATCTTGCCGCCGTTCCACGCCTGGATGAGCTCGTCGCCGTAGCCGCATTGCATCACAGCCTCCTGAACTGCGTCTTGTAGAACCCCTGCCACCATATCCCGCGCCTTAGCGTCGGAAAACTCGGGCTCGTAGTCATTAACATACTCGGAAGCAGGCGCAGACGGACGGCCGCGGGGATTTGGCAGGCGGCGAGGTGGGGGAGGGAGAGCACGGCGGTGCGCGCTCGTTCGTGGCTCCCGCTGGTGCCAGAAGGGGGCCAGCGCCCAATGCGCTCAGCCTGTTCTTGTCCACCAGTCCACCTTGGAAGAGGGGGGTGGGGGTCCACCTCGCACCTGTCCCTTGGGTGCGGGGCTTGCTCCTGCTCCTGGGCCGCGTTCCGCTCGGCGCCTTGGCCCGACTTCACTTTTCGGTCTTCGGCGCACGGCGCGGTTGAGCTTGAGGAACTTGTGAGCGCGCGCTTGCGGCTTCCGCCGGCCGGGCTTGGGGGGGGGGCGGGGTGTTTTCTTGTTTATCATGTTTTTTGTTTCAGGGTAGGCTCCGCCTCACTGCATCTCGGACTGGATTCCACGAATTGATTTTCCTAGCGTCGTCAAAGTGAGCTGAAAGCTCGCTCGAAGAGCCGATGTCACCCGCCGACCGCCTCCCATCTCGCCGCTGCTCTGGCGGGGCGGCGGCGGGGCCTGGCGACGGCGCGCGGCGCATGTGCCGTGGCAACCCACCGGGCCGGCCGGCCGCGAAGGCGCCGACCGGCGATCGCCACCGCGCCCCGCCTCGGAACGCCGTTTCCGCTTGGCGTCCGAGGCGCTCGGCGTTCCCGCTGGAGCGCGAGATCGGACCGGGTCTGACGCTCCTTTTCTCGCCGTAGGCACGGCTGGCCGGCTGGAGCAGCGGAAAAACAAAAATCGGATACGTCAATCCTCTCCGGCCAGCCTCGGGCTAATTAGAACTGCAAAAAATCGGAGGTTTCCGCCGCCCCGGATTCCACCTCCCTGGCCCTCCACGCCCCGCGCGCGCGACCGTATCACCGCCGCAGTCGGCCTCCCCGCCCCGCGCGCTGTAGGAGCGGCGCCCACCCACCGGAGACGCCTTCCCCTAGACCGCCCGACCACCCCGCCCCCTTCGGCAGGTGCCTCGCACGTATTTCGAGCGCGAGAGGCCTCCTTTGAGGTGGCGGCCGGCCGCCGCGTCGCGCGGTGAGGCGGCATGAGGCCGTCCCCCCTTCGCGTTCGAAGGCGGGCCGGCCACGGCACCGGCTGTCGCGGCTCGAGGGCGGCAGGCGAGCCGCCCCCCCCTCCTTCCCTTCCCTCC